AGAGTATGAGAAAACGAATGGAAACTGCGAGTATTGTGGACAAAAAGGACACGAATGGAGTACTTGCATGAAAATTCAAAGTCCGTCTGCAAAAGAAACTTCCTCACATCGACCAAAAGATGTCTGAACTGCGGATGCATAGGACATCGAGCTGCGTCATGCACAAGAGGCAACTGCCGCAAGTGTCAACAAAAACACCATACAGCGATTTGCCATGAGAACTCACCATCACCAAACAGACAAGGACCGCAACGTCAAACTAAGGACATGCACGATCAACAAAGTACGAAGATGCCCGCGATAAAACCAACGACTCAAAAATCGAAAGGATGGAAAAACATCAAACAACACGTCATCACTTCCGAAGAGGCTGAAGAATAAGATCACATAGAAGTCGAACAGGAAGTGGATCAAGAAACTAATAACGATGCTATTGTGCTGCAAACGAACGAATGGCAAAACGAATCAAGCCCTTCTTATAGAAACAAAGTAAGTCTTGGCCGGATCTGCAAAAGTATATGATTTAAAAGGAAAAATCCACGAAGCTATAGTGTTGTTAGACACGGGCTCCGATCTCTCGTTCATAAATGATCGATTAGCTGATGATCTTGGACTACCTACTGCAATATCAACTTCTTTATTGATCAGTACTTTTGGTTCACCTACGCCAACAACCAAGAAATGCGACATTACGAATTTGAAACTGTGCGACACAGAAGGAGTCAAACATTCGATACGTCTTCATCGAAATGACTTCATCACAGGGTGTATCGAACAGGCACACCTTGATGATAAAGACTTGGAGTTCATCAAAACTCAAGAGATACCTCTTTCACTTCCAGTTGAAGGTAAACCTTTACAACCACAAATCCTGCTTGGATGTGACTATGCTTGGAACTTCATACTTCCGATAGGACGTCTCGTTTTACCTTCCGGACTTCTACTGATCCCCACCAAATTTGGGTACATAATCAGTGGTCGCTAAGAACATGAAGCGTCCAAATCACCAACAGTACTCAAAACTAGGAGCACAGTCGCCGAAAAAGAGATGTGGGATCGTTATTGGACTCTAGAAAATACTGGAACAGAGGAATTCACAGGACCATTACCGAATGAACAACAATTGGTCAACAACCAAGTCCTCGAAAACTTCAGAAACACCATTCAACATCGAGAAGATGGTTATTACGTAAGGCTTTCTTGGAAGGAAAATTTTCCCAAATTGCCAGACAACAAAGTGATAGCGGTGAAGAGACTCCACAAAGTGCTTGAAATGTACTCCGAAGATACCGATACTTTGCAAGATTACGACAACATCTTCAAAGAACAGGCTGCAAAAGGACTAATCGAGGAAGTATCCGAGCAAGATGTTTCCAGCACTAGCATCGTACACTATCTTCCACACCAAGCAGTATTTACTCTTCGACGCTTCAGTCACTACAATGATCAACCATCACTAAATGACGTCTTACACCAAGACCCACTGCTTTTGCCGGATATGGTAGGCATACTGCTACGTTTTCGGGTTCCTGACATCGCTGTGATCTCGGACGTTGAAAAGTCCTTTTTGCAAGTGAGACTACAGGAAGCTGATAGAGATGCGACTCGATGCATGTGGGTTAAAGACATTGCAAGTTCACCAACTCCAGACAACATAATAACCTACAGATTCACGAGAGCCACATTCGGCCTGAATAC